AATTTAATAAGAATTAACCGCGTGGAGGTCGACCTGATAGAGTATATTTCTAACAGTAGGGCTATTAATTTCTAATAGTAGGGCTATTAGATCCCATTACCGATAATCCCTATCCCCCCTCAGCTCCTAGATCACGGGATCTAACATCAGATCAGGAACAGGATTGTCAATACCATTACTAGCAATCCCTTTTCCTCCTGACCTCTATGGTACTGTTCATATCTACAGTTCTATGCGGTGCTGTTTATTTAACTTATTTACCTTTTTAAGATGTATAAAAAATTAACAACATGACTCATTTTAGTTTCATTTGCATTAACCGATTACGCAAACACAATGCAACACAGAAAGTGTTTCAAAATCATATATCCACAGACAGACAAACGTCTGTTTGTCGCGCCACCGATAATAATGCATATAATTATAATATTTTACAATTAGTCCGTTCAGAATATAAATGAAACTCACGACGCCGGCCGTAAACGCTCATAGACATAAATCATGGTGTAACAAAAGGCGATCGCGAACTCCACCGCTAATTGGGCGTCACCATAAAACGGGCGGCCATTTTGGAAGCACAAAAGTCAATTCCCTCGACAAAGAAACGAAAAAACCAAGGCCCACCGTGTAACACAATCTTGTACCGCGAAAGAACATAAAATTCGGTTGGCTATTAGATTCCGCGGCGTAGGTACCGATACAACGACATTTTTATATTTTTAAGTGAACGGCCTGCGCCCGCGCATCCACGCACACGCGCGCGTCTCACACGCACACACACAGACGCGCGCAGCGTAAACAAATGTGCTAAGTAAAAAATATTATTATAGCATAATGCGCCATAAAACACGAGTCGCGGTGTGGCGCACGACGCTTCTCAAAGTGCAGTTGTTCTACGCTACGCGGGAGACGTAGCGGTTGCGTAGCCTCTCGTAGCCAGCCTTCGTTGACGCGACTGATTAATTCATGTCATGATTGACTAATATGACAGCTTTCCAATTTCCAATGTTATGCTCGCGTTCGCGTCATAGTCGCTCATGACTAAGGGTCCCGGATGGTCTCGAAACTAGTCGATGTGTACTTACAAAAATTTCAATTCAATCAACAATAAAATTGGCAATTTTTTTCACACATATCTGTTAGCAATACATATATATATATATATATATATATATATATATATATATATATATATATATATATATATATATATATATATATATATATATATATAAAGTTTGAAAACCATATGGAACACGGTACTCGAACATAAACAATGTCAGTAATTTTTATTAAAATCATTCGGCATTCGATATACGAAATATATTATAATAACGTCTGAGAACGGCTTTGTGCGCAATGTGCAATAAATAACTCACACACACACACACGCACATGCACACACCGATCACTGACTCTTATTCGTATACGCTTAAAGATCATTTTCGAATGTAACATTAGATTGTTGTTAGAGAAAGTTTTTTTTTTAATTTTTCTAATCAGCATTTTTTTAATCTGTGACATCCTTACCAATGTCCAATAATTATTGTTAATTTTTGTCTATGCCGTTCACCGAAGAATTGAAAATTCCAACATAGATATCGACATAATTGTAAGAGAGATGTATTATTAAAAGTACACTAATTATATGTTTTTTTTTTTACACCACGAAGGTGTTAAACAAGCATACAGCCCGTCTGATGGTAAACGGTTACTGTAACGTACGGGCGCCTGCAACACTAGGTGTGTCACGTACGCGTTGCCAACTTTGAAGAAAGCTTAATATACCCTTTTTGAAAAACCCCATACTGTAGTCTTACCTCGCATATTATAACCTCGACAGGGAGCTCATTCCATAGGCTGACAGGCTGAGCTGTGATTGGTATAATGTAAAAGAAATAGTTAAGTTTCTTAAAGGGTGAGTAGGTTACCCCCACTATTATCTCTCGTATCAGGTCGACCTCCACACGACTCCTTTTAGAAGCGATCATAGCTATTTCCTAGTGAATTCGTCACGACAGATCACTGCTAAATACCGCCAGGAAGCTTACTACGCTATTTCATCCTTGAAAAAATGTCTTTCGAATTCGAAATTTAAACTCACAACCTGACTAAAGTTTTTTTTTAATCTGGACTATAAAACTACAGGGTTGTAATGCTTTCTCTTAAATTTTTAAATAAATTCCTAAACATATAAAACGTGGAATAAAATTATGCATTTTATATATATAACTATTTGACCCGGCAAACGTTGTTCTGCCATATAAATATTTTTTTCTGGATAGAGACTATAACGGATGTGAAATAAAAGATCGATTTTTAGATGCTGTATATACACTGTCAGAGCATCTAGTGAAGCCAAAATAAAAGGGATAAAGGAAAATAATATTTATTTATTTTATTCATTGCAATTTTTCCAATTTTTCTCTTCATAAAAACCTTCTTTAGTCTTCAACGAATATTTAAAAAAAGCCGCATTAACTCGGCTGTACTTGAGTTTTGCGCTTAGCAACATATTTAGCAGTGAATTTTTATTTATATAGATAATTTTGAATAAAAATGTCGTAAATTATATCAATGTTATGTAAGTCAATTTCTAAAAGATGCAGGTACGAAGCCATAATAATATGTCACTTGAAAACACGACAAGGCGCGGATCGTGACTCAAAGTTTAAGGACAAATCAGCCTGTTTTATATCCAACAATTACTACTTAAAAAATTCAAATATTAAAAAAATTTTAGTTGTCTCCATAAATTAATCTAGATACATTAATTTATTATTTATAATCTAATTTATAGTTGGCATTTTAGACAATTTTTGAAAAGAATTCGTTCTTAAAATAATATTTTGTGTATATAAAAAAGAAACGGCTGTTCACGTAATCCTGAAGTGTGAAGCTGTGATCCCTTAACGTTTAGAAATCCTCAGAACAGTAACAGCTCCCCATCAGGCCTGTGAAGTTTCTAGGAAGCTTCTATACTTCTGAGCTGGCTGCACTAGCCACGACTCATACGCACAACGGCCCAAATGAGAGCCTTAGCGCGGAAAAGAGTCCAGTTTACATTTATATTAAAAAAAAACACATATAAAGCAAAAATGAAGACGTTTGTACAACCACAGTGCAGTGCAACTATTTGAGTAGCCAACTAGTGAAGCCTTAGCAGTCAATATGATTAGGAACTAATTGAAAAAATATTTCTATGGCACACACACCAAAGCAAAATTATGGTTCTTCTTTTATATATACTCCTTTTTTTTTGTATATGTTTCTTTTATTTTTTATCTCTTTTTAATTCTCTGTAAGTAATTCAAATAAATTATATATCTTTCATTGTATCAACGCATTAAAAGATTTGCGTCTCTCCATAGCGTCAATGGAAATGCACTTAGCTGGTTAAGCTTGTCAAATATTGTCTGTTGAGTTGACTAATACTATAGTAAAGAGAGGTAATTAATTGTTAGGAATGGGGACTAGCAGCCCCATATCAATATACCTTATAAGGTCGAAATTTACGTGTCCTACTGGAAACCATCGTGGTTCTTGATGAATTCATTACGATTGGTCATCAGACATGCATTCATCCTTACCTATGGTATCATCCTTCACTAGTGCCCCGTCAGTGTTTACCGATAGTGCATGTGAGGTTATAAGGATATTATCTATTAAAGAAAAATACTATCTAACTAAGTGCCGTGTGGTCCCGGCATAGAATGAGCCACCGCTTCCTTTCCTTGTGGATGTTGTAAGAGGCAACTAAGCGAACTTAATGGTCGAGAAATGAGAAACAGCATCCCTCCTTAAATATCACCAAAGCCTAACTTCGGTTGCCAGCCCGCCTACTTAGCGTGGCAACTACGGGCAACAATCTTAGGGGGGTTTTGCCAGTGTGCACTTGCCAACCGTGGGTTACCAAGCGGATTGGCAACTGCAGTTAGGGTTTGGAGATGTTTTAAGAGCGACGCTGCTGCCCATCCCTCGCCATCCCTTAGTCGCCTTTTACTACAACCACGGGAAAGGAAGTAGTGCCCTAATCTACGTCGGAACCATACTAGTTGAAAGTCAATGTTAGGTAATAAATAAATTTAAATTTTTAATCAAATGTATTTTTACTGATATGCTTTGGTGCAATGATTATGACGAAAACTTAAAAAAAAAACTATATAAAAAATAATGACCCAATTATATTACCTCTAAAAACTTTTTTTACAGTATAAGAGATCAAGACAAAAACAGAGTTTTCATCGTGCCTCCGATCAAACTGTTCATAATTACTCCTCTCCATCCAAAGGTTGTCTGGAAGAGATCGCTCTTAGCGATAAGGTCACCCATTGTTTTCTCATTGTGATTATTTCTTGTAATTATTTATATTTATAATAAGTTTACTATTTTAATCTTTTGGAGGAAACAATAAAGAGTATCTATCTATCTACAAAAGCTGAATAATGGTGGTGTGTTAGTCGAGATATTTTTTCAGTGCATTTCTTTAGAGTTAAAGAGAAGTGCGAAGACAATGAATATGGTGCTGATACTGTGGCTTGTTTGGTAGACGAACGTGGACTTATTAAATAAATTTTATTAATATTTTTCTCGATTTTATTATGAAAAATATCACATATTACAATAATAATAAGGTTTCTATTGTATTTTTCTCCTATTTTATGTCAGTAGCCAAATATTTTTTTTCTTTTAATTTTATAAAAAATTACATATGTTTAAAAAACTTTTTAATTAAATCTAAAAATATTTAAGTACTTTGTTTTGAAATTTAAAATGAATATTACTAAATTCTTTTTTTTTTTAAATAAATAAAAATTAAATCAACAATATTTTCTTTTCTTCATATAAACTGTTATACCTAATATATATTTTACGACTCAAGTTATAAGACATTAAATTAGTTAAGCTTATATAGAATAATCATATATAGGGACGAAATAAAAAAAAAAATACAATATCCAAAGTTCGTCTACTGGTATAACAGTGTCGTGTGTACGAACCCAGAAAGCTGTGAGATTTGGCTGCAGCCGGCTCTGGAGGTCAGGGTCGGAGAGGGCCCCCCGGCCGAGAGAGCCCGACGCGGAGGAGCTGCCGGAGGGCCGCTTGCCGCGCCCCGCGCGCCTCTCGCCACCGCCCCCGCCCTGCGCACCACGTCCAGTCACACCCCCGCACCGATCACACATTTCGACCTTGGAATGGCATAACGACCTTGACCCCATATTTTAAGCACTATGCGTTGACAACCCTACGGAAACTCCTGAAAAAAATAATCCCCCTATGCACTTGACGATGACAGTGACGGACTTAGGGGCGGGATTTATGTACGACTTTAAAGGTTGAGGAAAATAAATTACAAAACAATGTTGATTACGGGTAGTATGGTGTGGACGTGCTGGTAACAAAATAAAAAGGAATGTATGAATGAATGACTAATTCATTCATTCGAATCGATTCAAAATGCCGTTAAATAGGTATTGGATTTGATTTATTTATTTTGCACATATAATTAACATCGTCACGCTCGTTTAAAATCGGTATCTGTTTTTTTTTTTACAACTTACAACTCAAAAATCAATAATTACTAAGTACTAAATCAAACGTTGTAAAATATTTAATGAATCTATCAAAATCAGTTTGGAAGCACGTGCTTCGCGTTAAATAAATTATATTTTTAAATTAATATGAAAAAGTGTCAGATAGATGAACCAGATCGTGTACTGAGTCACCCTCGTGTTGTTCTCGCTTGATAAATTATGACCGGCGGCGTTTAAAACAAAATTAACAGGATCATAAATTGGATACCGATTTTCGAACACTCCTATGACTATTTGAATGCAATCGAAATTGAATTGGGACCTTTTATCGCTTAATATTGTACAGCGACAAATCGTGTCTTTTTTTTCTTAATTAACATTTGGACGTGTTTCGAGCGTCAATTGTCATATATCGAGTGTTAATTATTATAATAAAGATAAGGAGATTTGAATTACATACGAAAGAGTCATTTCTACATCTCTAATTGCAAACGGTGTTTTGGTCAATAAAATTAAAAGAAGGTAATATCTTTTTTTTTTTTTTAAATAACTATTAAAAACATTAATGATCTGTAAAATGTATTACATGTGATGGCATACACAAAATGGCGTATGGCAACACAAAATACATATATATATTTGTAATGACCAAAACGACGTTAGGTATATCTAATATCTACTACAATTCAAGCCAAGTTAGTCGAAATGATAGTGCCATTTGCATGCGAAGAAGTAAACAGAATGGATGATAGTATCTGCCACCGTATAGTGCCCAAAGTGAAGCATCGAGATGTGTGATCGTGTAGCGACTAAAAGCATCTAGATCTATACATAATAACTAGTTTAGTTATAGCAATAATGACAAATATATACAGAAGTTAAAGGTAACGACACTTCTACAGTTGTATCGTACAAACTTCTGGTCATTCCAGAAGTACTTACCTAGGTGAATACCTGGACAGGGTGAAATTAAAATCAATAGCAAAATAGTAAAGCTGAGAATTAACCCACGCTTCCGGACATAATTAGAAGGAAAATTTTGTTAATAAAACGTTCCAAAATAAACATTTTGAGTCTCCTATGTTAACGCAAGAGCTGAAGGGGGAAAGGGATTGTTAGCAATGGAGTTTGACATCCCCATTGCTAGCAATATGCCCTATTAGGTCGCCCTCCACGTGGTTCCCCCTGGAAACCATCGTGAACAATTCTTGTTGAATTCGTCACGATAGGGTAACTGACCTGCTTCATCCTCACCTATCATCCTTCACTGGTGCCCCGCCGGTGTCTACCGATAGCGTGGATGGGGTTACCATTCCATTATATACCATAAAAAAAAACTCAACAGCTGAACGCGTGTTAGTATGAGGGACTCAAAATAATTCTATTTCAACGCATATTTCGTTGCTAAGAATTAATAATTTCACACTGCACTTTATCAATAATATAACTTATATATATAAAAAAATTGGTATTGAATTAACGTAGACAGTGTCGTTATTTTTTTTATTATTATTATTACTATTTGCACTATTATTAAAAACATTTAAATGCATAATAGACACCATAAGTAGATTAAAATCCCAATAATTCAACAAAAACATATAAATATAACGAGAAATGTCCAATTTTCTTTATAATTATGCATTTAAATGTACTAATATTCATTAAATATATTTAGAATGATTATTATCGAAGTATATTATAGTAAAGTCTTCGATAACAATCGATATATTAAAATAAATAGAGTTAGCATCTTATAATTAAGAATGTTTGCCATTATTAAGATTCGTAAGAAAATACCAAATAAATTTATAAACACGGGGAAGCTGAAATTAGTTAATGGAACTGGCTGAAAACCAGCGCGGTGCAGCTGTTCACATTGCACTGGGTCACTCACAGCATCAGCTGAGCCGGCTCCTTTTGCCGAGTATGGGACATTTTTTGTATATGTTATTTATATTTTATATTGTAATTGTATGGCAATAAATGTTTCTATTCTATTCTAAAATAACTTTTTCATCTTCTTGGTTGCACAGTTAAGCAACTGAAACGATTTTGACAAAATTTTATATATTATATATATAAAGCCTTAAAAATTCAACTTTTTTTTTAAATAAACTCCTTAGAGTTAAATGGGCTGTAACATAACGTATGTATACGAACATTTTTTTTTTAATACGTTTGTTCCGTTTGGAACAGGCTAAGGTCGGAGACCATGCTGCCTAGTCTTCAAAAAGATAATTTGTGTATACGAACAATTTTATGACAGAATTTTTTTTTTTTATTATACCATGAAGCTAGTGAACAAGCATACAGCCCGTCTGATGGTAAACGGTCACTGTAGTCTATGAATGCCTGCAACACAAGCGGTGTCACGTGCACGTTACTGACCCTATTATAAATATTATACGTTATAAATTACCAAAGAAATATATATAGCAATATTAATTTTCACAGTCGCAACATTTCCTGCAAACGGAGTCATATTTTCGACCAATATTTTTAAATGAATTAACTGTTTAACTAAAAAACAGTTCTTTTAACAAGACCCAGTGATCATCATCATCAGGTTGTTGCAATATTATTATGAATTTATATAAAAAAACTAGCGATATACCGCAGTTTTATCCGTGGTCGTATCGTGATTCGTAATTGTGAATTTTTTGACCTATTACCATCCTCAAGAAACGAGCTATTTAATGCAAAAATGATTTTTCATATCCGTCTAGCAAATATTTAAAGAAATTTAGCTAATTTAAACAAACAAATACTTCCGTATTATTATATTAGTATAGAGTTCTAAAAGTACCGCTCATAAATACCGTGACTCCTTGGCGAATGTTTCTTATTTAAAAAAAAAATTCAATACAGAATTGCCAACGTACGTTAAATGGCCGTATTTCTTATTCATTGATAGTAAACAGCGAATGTTTAAGACAACGCATTCGGGCTACTTGATCCTATAGATTTCCAGTAAACGTTTGTTTCTCGGCACTACAGGCGCAGTAAATCTCCGCTTAGAAGACGGTTTAGGGCTGCCCTTCGTTTTACTGCCCATAAAAACACATTTCGGGCTCTCTTCTCCACTTATTGTTGCTGTCAGGTACGTAAATGTACTCTATTTATAGTACATATAGCGTCCGATTTTGTGTGCACACGCAAATTGTAAACTGAAATTGTGAGAAGTACTAAATTTTATAGAATGTTAATTATTCTAACAAAAGGTTATGAATTTTAACAGTCTATTTGGTAAAGCTTCCAAGTTAATAGTTACATTTTATCAACTTATTTTTTTTCTGTTAATTTTTTTTTGTTTTTATTTTTACGTCTATGGTCATTAATTTTTTTTTTTGACATTATCACTATATGGACCAGATTACTTGTTTATTCAGCTTCAAATTCCTTTTTTTTTTTTTAAATCCTCGATACGAAGTTGAATGAAAAAGGAGCATTTTATTTTTAATTAACAATATCTCTGCAACTAATGATCGCACAGAAAGTTGAAGGTGGTTTCCGAAATCTTGGATAAATTTCTATGAAGATAAGTCATTGTTTTATTAAAAACAATTTTTTTCGTTCTTGACATGTTTTTGAAAATGCAACAAAAACAGGACTTTTGAAGGTTTATTTTAAAGTAAAGCGCTAAATCGAAAATATTGAGGAAACCCCTTATGTTTAATTGTAAAAGATAAGTGTGCCTTACCTTTTACAATTACCTGTAAGTCTAAGTGTACCTTTTACAATTCAATATAACTACCCACAAAAATCCCACAAAGTTTCAATTTTATCCATTCAGCCAATTCTTTGTTTTACTCGATCAAATATTTGAAAAAGTTGAAGGATCACATTTTTCGTACCAAAAAGCTCATGATCTTTAAAAAATGAAAACCTAAATTCTCGGCTTTTAGCACATTTTTATTGCAGTATTTAAAAATTGTAAATTTAATTAGAAAAATCAATTAATAATTTTCTGAAGCATCGAATTTAAAAGAATGTTTTATGGAAATTTTTTTTTGAGAAATTTTTCTTCAGTGATTTAGATCAGTGGATGGATTCTGAATACATCCATTCATCTCTCTTATCTGTGACGGTGCCACGAGCGTCTACAGCTCGCGCTCAGCGGTCCGAGACGTGCAGTCAGACTCGTGCTCGAGTCATAGCCACTCATGACTAAAGATCAACGAATTGACTCCGAAACTAGTCGAGCTTTTTCAATCTAATTATACGTAAATTAAACCGGTAGTTATTACATTAAAATATACAGTATTTGTTATTGTACTAAAGCTTTCCAGGGTAAGCGTGTTGGGAGACTGTAGAACTCACCCAGTTGATCAAATATATATATATATATATATATATATATATATATATATATATATATATATATATATATATATATATATATAACAGAATAGAAACAGTTACATTATAATAATAAATTTACGAAACTTTAAAGGCTCGCCAAAAACTTGTGCCACTTTACGATCCGACTAAAAAAATAATAATTAAAAAGCCTTGTAAACGTCATAATATCGATGATAAATATATATCGATTATAATAATAACAGTGATCACCGGGGACATTACTAGTAATTTAAATAAAATAA